ATGACGTCCTAAAACAAAAACAAACGACGAGACAGTTTGCGCAAAGTGTATACCCCATCTCTGTTCGTACAATATTAAAAATATATCCCTTCCTTTGCATACCAAAAAATCTGTCAGCAATTCATACACCAACTTTTTCGGTTCATCCCTTCTCCACTTTGTAGTTTGGATGTATAATAATAATCATAAATCACTGACAATAGAGTAGACTATAGATAAGGTTTGACGTTCCATCATGGATATCAAATGTAGACCTACCAATTTAACATGGCTGACATAATTTTGGTTACGTTTAGATGATATTAATAGCAACCGTTTTGAACACCGAAAGGTTTTCATTTTTTGACGAGTTAAGAAGGGAGTGCTGAAGGGCAAAAAATAAAATCAAATAAAAATTGGGGTCGCTCGATCCTTTTAGCTGATAAGGCACGTTTGCTATTTGTGCTTGGTCGATTGTCGCTGTCGTCGTAGTAAAAATCTTTTGAACAGCAGCAATATTGCCTTTTGAATTTCAACACTTTCAATTACTATTATTCTCTGTGCATACATATATGGTATGCGTGTGTCAATGATCGTAATTGAATCTAAGAGAGTGTATTATATTATGTACAGGTACACAGTGACTGAGTAGACATCTTGTTATTGCTAGATCAATATAGACAATTTAAGATTATTCGTATCCCTGTAGAAGAGATACCAGCTATAAATTCGTGTTGAATTATACGAAAAGTGCATATTTTCAGGACTAGATCATAAAATCTTAATAAATCATAACAAAAATAAATTTCTTTTAAGAACTACTTAAATAATAACACAATGTCTTCAAAAAAAATTTAAAACAAAAAAACCAATTTATAATCATCAGTTTTAAACTAATAGAATCATTAACTTTCAGTTTTGTGTTCAACATAATAATCTTGATTCATTGTTTGAAGCCCCTATTCTACTACTTTTTTAATACATTATTATAATCTAAATTGCTTTTGAATCGTATATGTCTTGAAATAATGTTATTATTCAAAATATATCATTGTAATAAATTCACCTAAGACTATATAATAATTAGTGATTAGAAACTTATAATAATAAAATTTTGTTTTATTTTAAGAAATAAATTTAGAAATTTAATTACTTAATTTTTATACACTCATAATTTGTCGTTTGTTCAAATCTCATAAATACCATATTTTAAATGTATACTGTTATAATACAATATAGTGATTAAAGTCATCTTCATTATTGATTAATTACATTGTTTTTACGTACATAACATAATGGAAATTTTAGTAATATATATTTCTTTTTTTTGTGTATATATATAATTATATTTATATATTTATAAATCTTTAAAGTTTTATGTATTCTAAAAATTAAGCGATTTAAATTTTAATTCTTAAGATAATCAAAAATAATTTAAAAATATTTAATAAATAATACATAATAATAATATAATTATATGTTTATCAATACTATTTTTACATTAATAATAGGCCATCCTAAATAAAATAAAAATATTTATTATTTTCTAATATAGATAGATAAATAAATAAATAGTGATATATTATAATTAATAACCCAATTTAATAAAATTTATTAAATTGGGTTAAAATGCTTCAATATTTAATATTGAAGCATTTTATTGATACCAAGTAAACCAAATCTGATCAAATATGTATACGAATCAGATTAATTACAGTCTTTCTATTTAATTTAATAATACAATTTTTTTGCAATTTTCAAGAATTTTTCAATTTTTGCAATTATTACAATTTTTGTATACTTCCCGTGATAAAATATACAAATTATTATTTCTAAAGTGATCTTGCAATAAAAATATAACTACGAAGTTATTTTTACACGTAGTTAAATGTAGTTTAGCGTTTTTAAAATTATATTTATCTGAGTTATTCACAAAACTCACAAGTTTAAAAAAATCAAATAGTCAATTACTTAATAGTTTAAACATATTTAGTGAAATTGAAAATATTTCTATAAATATTCCCGATCCTAATAGGTAAATAATTAAAGATAAATTAAAATATGTTCTAGAAAAAAAATGAAGGATAGAAAATTATTAAAACTTACTCTGAGGTTATGACAGGAAATCAAAATGTTAATTAAAATGCATCCCAAGTGTAAACGTTTAATGTACTTTTTCATTATAGAAATATATTTTAAGTAACAGACGATACAAATTTCAAGAACACAATTTAAAGATGTATATAATTATAAATTTTAATTCAGAAAAATTATATATTTTATAAATATTATATTAATGTCTATAATATTATTTAAGTAAGTAATTAATGATTTCATATGATTTTTACCATGTAAATGTAATTTTAATTTATATTTCACTGCAATTTTAAGATATTTTTAATGAAATTATTCTCAATCTTTAATTATAATATATTAGACTTATAAAATCATTACACATCATAATCTCTTTATTTAAAAAATTATTAGAACTTCATTCCTTGAAAAAATTTTCATTTTCTTTATTCTATTTGCACATTTTATTCACTACATTTAGTTCATTTATATTTTCGAGTTTATTTGAAGTAGTATAAAAACATATACATACATTTCTTTCTATACCATCAATAATAATAATTTATAAAATTTATATTATATTATTATAAAAAGTTAAAAGTTTTCTTGCGTTAGTAAAATTTGACTGCTGTATTTTGTCATTCTCTAAAAATAATTTATAAGTCAAGATTGATACTTCAGTGTTATTATTATATTTGATAATGTATTTTAGTTATCATATTATATATAAAATGGTCTTGTGTATATTATTTTTTATATTTTATGTACAATTGAATTCTGATGACTACCATACAAGTACCATACATGTCCAATGGTATCCAATAGTCTAACTGAAAAATAAAAATTGAATAAAACAAATAAATAAATTTAATGAAATATAATAAAACTAAAACCCATTAAAATGTATTAAAATTGCAGTTGATAATTGCAATATGGCAACTGTACCCACTATAGATTTGTTACACAAATATCTTAGAGTCATTCATAAACATTTTAAATCAATGTGAGATAATTCGATTCGATCAAATATTTGTTATGACAATAGGTCATAATTTTGTTTACACAGGATTTCATGAACAATATTTATTGATTTAAACCAAGAAACATTACATCAAAGATATGTAATTATAATTTGTTTTAGCTATATTTTATCTTGCTTAGAAATAAAAATAAATAATATGTTACTTTTTAATCCATTCTTTAGTAGTTACTTATTTGCTTTGATTTTAATTATAATTAATACAATGAATTTATCCTGATTTGCTTATCAAACTTTTAATATGTTATGTATTTTAATATAGGCTATAATAATTTTTATTTAAATGAAAATGCTGAATTTAATAAAAAAAAATACATTTGATTGGAAATAGTATTATTAATAATATTTTGGCTTAAATATCACACATAAATGATAATGAAGATGACATATGCATATAAGAGTATGATACGTAAAATTCCTTTCTGTTATATAATATTATAACTCATGAAATAATAACAATTAATTATATAATGAACGCTTTCATAAATTTAAATTCTAAGTGAAGTAAAGAATGTATTGATTTTACAATGATGGGATTTTTTTAAGACTTTCGCATAGCACCAACATTTTAATGCAACTTTTTTTTAGATAAAAAAATTAGACGTAAAAAGTAAACTTTAAATAGATGGTTTTAAATTTTTTCAAAAGTCTTTTTAATAACAAAATCTAAAAAACCTGAATTATGTTACATTTTCCCGACAATGTTTGTATAACTTTTGATAAAACGAGTTATTTTAATTTTATATTTTGAAAATAAAATACAAGGCATGCAAATTGAACATCTTATTTTTACTCTATATCAGAAACCATAAGAATTTTATATTTTTTATGAACATTTAAGATTAAAATGTGAAAAAAACCGACAGTTTTCTTGAATATTAATAAATTTATATTTTTTTATTTAGGAATGATATTATTAAAAAATATTAAGTCGAAATTAATACATATTTTTGTATTTTAAATCTTTTTAATATAAGTATATATAATTCTCGTTGAAAACTTTATGCATGAGAATCTATTAATATGAAATATGAAGAAATATATATTTTGTATCGAAATTCATTCAAAATCTTTTTTTTATTTTTCGATGATTTATTACAAATATTATCAATTAATACAGTCAAATGGATAATCATTTAAACTAGGGTTTGATCATTTAAATTATTCTAATGTTTTTATTGTTTTAACATTTTGCTTTAAACTATAAAAAAAAAATTGTAATTATATTCTCTAATTCACTGTATTTTAATTTAATTTTTAATTCATTAAAGTATAAGCTCAATAATTAAATTTTACAAACATATTTAGTTATATAAGAATAGTTATAATAGTTTTATTATCTTATGTTATAAGCTATCAGAGATAAAGTTTGTTTCGAAGTAAACATATGTTCAATATTGTATTGTTAAATATTTAATTATCGTCTTAAGACATGATACGATCATTGTTTGACAAACCTAATTTTGTCATGATATATTGAAGTACCTAAAATACTAAATCTCACAGGTTTTTATAATTAAATTTATTATATGAAATAAAAATATTTACACAAAAAAATAATATATATTTTAATAAAAATGTATTATATTATAATACGATATATATATATATATATATATATATATATATTATGTATTGTATAATTCAGATAAATTTCTCAGTCTGTTATACATATGTCACCCAAAATTGCTAAAGGGCTTACAAATCAAGTTTTTATTAAGAATGCATATAAACAAATACTCGAAAAAATAATAATGATAAAACTAATATTTTATATATTATAAAGTCAACATTTATAAATCAAATATTAATTTAAATTGTTTCTCTTAAGTTAATATGTAATTTAATCTTCATATATTATTTTAAAATAGTTGTGGAATAAATAAATTATTTTTTTTTTTATCTTTAGGTGTACAGAGTGTATGATTATTACTATATGGTGGAATCAAGAACTGTTTATCCAAATTTTTGGAGAGTGATCAATTTAATTCACATTTTATTGATACTGGCTCATTGGTTTGGATGTTTTTATTACCTATTATCGGAAGCAGAAGGATTCAAAGGTGATTGGGTGTATCCATATAAGCCAGGAGACTATGCTACATTAACTAGAAAGTACTTGGGTTCGTTGTACTGGTCCACTCTGACGTTAACCACTATAGGCGATCTACCCACACCAGAAACCAACGCCGAGTGAGCATGAATTTTCACATAAAATATCCATTTAATAATTTTAATTTAATTTATCGTTGTTATTACATGGAAACATTTTCCACTAGACTAAAAAGTCTATATTAAAAAATCAAAATAAATAAATAAACGAAACACTAATAGTTCTCATAACGTTCTCATAGCGCACATGTATATTTTATAGATATGTTTTTACTATCGTCAGTTATTTGATTGGAGTATTCATATTCGCTACCATTGTCGGTATGTTGCGCATGCAATCTAACGATTTAACTAAATAATGATGTTTGCCAAAAAGTGTTTATTGATATCCTTATTTTCAGGACAGGTGGGTAACGTGATAACGAACAGAAATGCAAACAGGTTGGAGTTTGAACGGTTATTGGACGGTGCCAAATTGTACATGCGACATCATAAGGTGCCTAGTGGCATGAAAAAGAGAGTGCTGAGATGGTACGACTACTCTTGGTCCAGGTGAATATTGTTTTTTGTATACTCAACTAATTGAATTAGAGCGTTCGAAATTCTATACACTTATATGCACTAAAACACTCGTCAGCCGGGAGACCTGTCGTGCAAGGTGTAACTCAATATATTTCCCTGCGAGCTGACATCCTTAAAATTGTATTCGATAATCTAATAGCGAAGAAAACGCATAGATATGTCAAAATAAAATTATGGATTAATTCTTGCTTCCCACTCTCACGTTATACGATAAGACTAAAAATATTTTTATTTTTTTTGTTACCGGTTTGTTGAAGGGGCCGTATTCAGGGAGGTGGTGATATAAATACAGCACTGGGTCTTCTTCCAGATAAACTAAAAACCGAACTAGCGTTACACGTGAATTTAGCGGTTTTGAAAAAAGTAATACCTAAGTTATCTCAAAAAATTATCTCTTTCAATATATTTATTAAATTTTCATAGGTTACAATATTTCAAGAATGCCAACCCGAATTTCTACACGACTTAGTTCTTAAAATGAAAGCTTACATATTTACACCTGGAGACTTAATATGCCGGAAAGGAGAAGTGGCCAGAGAAATGTTCATCATAGCCGATGGAATTTTAGAAGTTATTAGGTGAGTAAAAATATATTTTAACTATATTATATAATAAAATTAATTAACGTTTTTTTTTCCCCCATTATTTATTAAAATAGTAGTGAAACTGGACATGTTTTGACAATTATGAAAGCTGGTGATTTCTTTGGAGAAATAGGAATACTCAACTTGGATGGATTTAATAAGTAAATAATACTTTTAATGATATTAAATTATATCGCACTTCATAGTGTGTATACTTGAGAAACATGCACATACTCGTATCATATTTATTCATATTAGCATTCAATCGGGAAATATTAAGAACATTTAAATCATTAATTTAACGATATTATTATCTTCTCGAATTCTTTTTACTTTTCTCTCAACTCTTTCGCCCTTTGCACCATCAATTCAAATGAAGCCTTTAACAAGCTTAATCATATATTCTTTTCCTTACCATCCATTTTTTTATTTAGATTAACCCTTTTTACTCATCATTGATCTATTTGTTACAAAAATCCGACTCCAGTATTCTCAATCCTCATTTTCTCAATTTCTTCCAGTTGTACTCTCTATCATATATTTCAATCTGTGTTTTAGATTTCTAATATAAATAGTATTTTTTTGTTGCACCTAACCTACTTTGTATTAAGTACCATTCCTCTAATATAAATATTAGGGTGTTCCTTAGCCATATGAGAAAAAAAAAAAATAATGATATTTTTCTGGTCTCACCCCCTAAATCGGTGTGTATACATATAAAAGTGAACTACAAAAAATTTTAGGTCAATCAAATAAAGTTAACCCGTGCCGACTTGAAGTTAAAGTTTGAGCTTAATACATTTTTAAATAATTTTAGACAATTTTTGTATTTCCGTAAATATTTCGTAAACCATTATGAAAATCGTAATTTTTTACAATATGTTTTTTCAAGTAAATTAAATTTCCAATATATTTTATAATATAACATTTTTTAATAAATCTATTAATTTAAAAGATGCATAAGCGTAATTAAATATATTCTTAAAAATAATAAAAAAAAACTTACAATATTGAGTAAAATTCATAAAATAAGTGATATCAATTATAAATACAGGCACCATAATTTTAATTATATGTTATGTTGTTGTTGAAGTGTACTTTTTTTACAATTGGGGTAGGTTTTTCGATGTCCTTGTACACACAGTAAGACGTACTGTTTTTGCTCCTCATCTAATGTTAACGATGCATTAAAATTGTCCATCAATTTCACTATCCTTTCTACAGTATCATTGATTATTGTTAGTGAATTTATTATATGTTTTGCATTCACGAAATCTGTATTTGATTCCCAAGATTTTGGATCGTTTTTTAAGAAGCCATCATTAATTTTGAATCGAGAAAATAATTTCAAGCTACTCTCTGATAGAAATTCATCAATATTTTTTTCTGAAAAAATTGGTAAATTGATTGTTTATTGTTTTATATTAATTTTAAATTTTTTACATTTAAATAAACTAGATATTTTACTTACCTAAAAATGTATTATCTATTTGGTTTGGTTGAATAATCAATCGTTTAGTCGGGTTTTTTATTGGTTTTTTTTTTTAGAGCTTTTACCATCTGACGCTTTGTCTCAAGTGGTATAGAATCATCAAAAAAAGATAATGCAGCAGTTTCTTCGGTTAAGTACCACAAATGATGACATATTTTTTTAATTGATACTTTAGATATGTCTTTATCAACTGATTTAAATGATTTCAAATCTTTTATAAATTGTAAGTCTTGGTTGGGAGCTTTAGCTGGCAATGGGCAAGTAAACCAAGCTTTAACATAAAATATAATGATAAAAACACAAATCTCTCCAATTGCCTTTTTAACAGACTCTGCAATATTATAATAATTTCTAAATAAAAATATTTTCAAGCAATAAATTGACCGTGCCATCCATCGAGCTTGATGCATAGCACCAGGAGGATGAATTGTTATATTATTTTCCAAATCACCTCCAAGAAACATTAGTACTAATTCTAAAAATTCACGGTAATCTCCACGAGAGTGTTTAATTTTTAATTTATCTTGGACAAAACTAAGAATATCTTCCTTCACATTTTCTAAAATATCACCACATGCTTGATCTTCAATCCCACTATTATATTTATTAGTATGTATTTCGCACCATTGTTTTTGAAAATTTTTAAATAATGGAATACTTGGGCTTGTAGTAACTTGAGGTATTTTAATTTCAAAAACGGCTCTCAAATAAGTTCATAAATATGATGTCTACACGGAAGATATAGTAAGTCTCTACCTAACTTTTTTTCAATTAAAATACATGCTCCATTTAAACGACCGGTATTGGACGCAGTTGTGTCACAACACAAAGCTTGTACTATATTGCATAGTCCCCAATCTTTTAATGCATTACACACAGCTGCAGCTTGTTCTTCACCTGTTGACCGCTCAAGTTTTGGTACTCCTAAAATTTGTTCTATATTTTTGCTAGTTATCACGATTGGAAGTCGTTCAACAGTTGCATTTCTAATTGTAGTATCCGGTAACATTTTTTCCGTCCCAATGTACAACTGCGTAATTAGGTAGTGATTTTTTAAATTGTAATTTTATTTGTTCACCACGCTCGCAACGGTATGATCCTCGAGCTCTGTGTATAGAAGTCTGGTTTATTACGTAATCGTCTATATTAAAATTTAAAGCTTCTAAAGTAGCCTGGAGAATATATACAGAATATCGAATACTTAATTGACATCTATCTAACGCTCCAGCCAATTTTGGTGTTATAAAATAAAATAAAATAAAATAAAATCACTTCTCAGTTTTATTGACATTTTTGCTATTTAAATTATTATGAATTACTAACGACAAACACAATAATAACCTTTAACACATAAGACGTTGACACAACTGAAATAAATGAGTATCACGAACAAAATAATATCTTTTATAAATTATAAAGCAAGACTAGTACCTACGGAAACTACGATAAACAATACGTATTTCAACACATCTTAATCGTTTTCACAATCTTATCGTTTATTATTTATACGAGTATAATACGAAAATATGAAGAACCAATAATTACACAAATAAGTGAATAAGAAGTACATAATATTACTGTGAAAATTTTATCATTTTAACAAATATTATAAGTTAAGATTATTATTATTAATCCTACAGTAAAATAATAAAATATAAATTATATATTTGTGGAGAAATTCTGTTAAGGAACACCCTAATAAATATATTGTGTTCTAATGTTTTTTTAATAAAACACATTTCGTAAAAAAAAATCATAGTTATACTAATTCCACATTTCGACAAATTAAAGTATGAATTTATAAACGTGATTTTTAGGAGAACTGCTGATGTACGATCTGTAGGATATTCAGAACTATTTAGTTTATCTCGTGAAGATGTTCTTGCAGCAATGAAGGATTACCCAGAAGCTCAAGATATTCTTCAGACTCTTGGTAAAAAACGTTTAATGGAAGCAAGAAATGCAAATAAAGCTGGTAGGTAATATTAATTGTAATAGCTTTTTCTAATAAATTCATAAGTAATTTAAAATACTATTTTGAAAAATAGTGGCCGATCGTATAAAATCTCGAGCTGAAGCTGCAGAAAATTGTAGTGGTATTGTAGAAAAAATTCGTAGTGATGTCAAAGGACTTCGAAATGCATTTTCAAAAGGGCGTCGTGGCACTAGGTGAGATAATTCAAATTTATATAAACTCTTAAACATTTTTTACATATTAAAATATAACAGCGAGTTGAATACATTCTTAAATGTATTGTAGCTTTTACTATGCAAAGTTCTAAATTATTTTAAATTTAATTTAGAATATTTTATTTCTATTATATGATAATCTAATAAAATAGCCTATTTTTTGGAATTTCTGTTATAACAAAACTTAATATAACATATATTAAAAAAAAAAAAACTCTGAATTATTTTAAAAATTATTTAAATTTTTAAAATTGATTTAATTAAAAAAACATATATGATGTCTCATATTTTTACAGAACTGTAGTAGAAGAGAGTATGGAGCTACAGCCATTGACTAGTAGTGGTCGCAAGTCAGAAAATACGAGCAGTAAAAGTATTTTAAGAAGAATGCCTCGCGTATGGAGTGACGAGTTAGCCTCTGGAACTGATCATAGTGATGAAGACCCAAGGCCATTATCTCCGGGTATTCCAATACTAAATAAAGCAAAATCAGAAAAGGAACCCCGGGCCGGTGAATTTAAAAAGTGTTTACTATCACCTCCACCTACTACTGCATCTGAAACTCGAAAAGAATCAATGAATCAAGAAGTAATTGGTGCTGGACTTCCGTTATTACAGAGACTTTTAATTCTCAAACAAAAAAATGACCAAGAGACTGTAATGGAAAATAGATCAAAGAAAATTGAACCAGAAATAACTACTTTGAAAGTAAAATCTAATGTCAAATTAAAAACTCCGAAGAAAGAAAACCCAAAAGCAGTAAGTCTAAAGCAACGACTGTCAGATGTTCATACTAGACCTAGAAAACCGACAACGAACACTAAATTGTGGACCCTTCTGAAGAAAGCCACGGTTCTTACACCAAAATCTAAATTACAAGACTTAAGATTGAATAGCGAGGTCCCATGTCAATCGTCATCTCTTCAATCGAACATCAAACCTTCTACCGAATTCACCAATACAAATATCGGTAGTTCCGAAAGCAAGTTCATTGCAATGTGCCAAAAATTAGATGACCAATACAAACAGGGCTCATTGATTGCTCAAAACATATCGGCTCACAATAATTTAACAAATAAATGTACTGAAAATAATATTATTAAGGAACAATGTGATATTAGACTAATGCAAAGACCTAAAGTTTTGCATCTAGATGGCAAAAACAGACGTTATGATTCGATAAATGATTTGTCGCCTGAGTATTCAGGCCTGTCATTTGTTAAGAAATTGAAAATATTGAATGAACGGCAAAAACTAGCGGAACTTGAAGCAAAAGCTTTTTTGAGAAGTGCAAGTCTAGATTCTGCTGGGTGCAAAAATGTGGATGATTCGTACTGTAACCAATTAACTCGAAGCCACTCAGAGGCAGTAGCTTTAGAGGTGGTTTTAAGGAACCAAAAATTGCGTAAGCCAGAACCGTCAAGTATTACACCTGATGAATCTAACGAAACGGCTGAGCGATTACGGCTTAAGAATATCCTAAAAAAGTTATCATCTAATTGTTTTGGCAATGAAAGAGTTAACCAATTAATGACATCACAAACTATAGAAGGGTATGCTGCCAGGCATTCCAAACTGACTAGAAACGTTACGTTCAATCCACATAAGACGATAGAATCGTCACCAGATTCTTGTAGTTCTTTATTCGGGATTCAAGACAGTATATCTTCGCAGTGTAAAAACTCTAATCTAATTCCACTGGATTTGTCTTTTAAGACTGACTTGCAAAAGTCTTCCCAAACTACATCAAATGCAAAACTATCCAAACGACTGTCTACCGACACAATACAATATACACCAAAACGGCCAGATGTTAAAGAAAATTGTTGCAATGAAATATTAAATGGCGTAAAAACAATAGTCGAGAAATGTTTAGTAAGTTCAAAGATGAAACAGTTACGATCATATAATCTATTATACACTTTCAAGTTCCAGCAATAGAGAGTTATATCAAAATCCATTTTTTTTCAGAATGACATTGAAGGTAAATATCGAGATAAAATAGATGAACTCGAATCGGAAATTAATAAACGAGATTACACAATAAGTACGCTCTGTGAACAATTCAATCAGGTAATATTTATTTTTAAAACTTATTAATTTTAATTTTTTTAATTTCGTTAAAAAAATTTTTAGAAATTAAGCGATGAACCTATTGATGAAAGAAAGTTAGGAGCTTTACTTGATAATTATTCAAAAAATATAGAAGAATATGAAGATAATCCATTTATAGTATGTTTAGTACATTTTTATTTATTTTCAAATATTTTTTATTTAATTTAATTTATTTTAGAGAAACGATTCAGTAGATACAGTGATGTATCCAAAGATTTCTTCGTTTAACAGCTTATCACCATTCGCCATAGAAGATCTTGGATGTTATAACTCCAGTTCTCACAGTCCAGCTTTATTATCAAATAAATCTTGGGAAGATCGATCGGCAGAAGAGAACATGGAACTACGAGATCTACCCAAATCAATTATTCCGGAACCATCGTGGTATCACGGTGAAACTAGAATTGATATGAACTGTACAGATGATGAGGAAGAAGAATTTCCACCGAGATGGGAAAATTGGGAGGCGGAAATGTTAGTTGGGCACACAAATCATACTGACCTCAATATGGATTCTAGGCTTTTGAGCCAAAGATCTTTGGATGAAAAAAGTATGATTGTGCACAAAGGACTTCAGGGAAGAAGAAGGTGTTTATCGATTGATAATGTACCATTTTCTAATTCGATATTAAGGAACTTTGGGCAGTATGTTCGTTTGGGTAGTTCGTCACAAACTCCTTCACCCGATATACTTCCAACTATATCTAAGAGTTGTTTTTCATTAATATCACAGCCGGAAAAATAGAACAAAATAGAAAATATTAAATATTGTTTTCTGAATATTAAAATAATTTAAAGGAACAGGGTAGTTACATGGTTTTATTAAAAATGTATTTTAATGTTTTAATGCTGTCTGTTCTTTAATTTTAGTTAACAAATAGATAATTATTATTTTTAAATAAGTTACAATCTAATGTAATTAATTTATAACACAAATTAAAATAAATAAATAATTATATTTGGTCTACATGCAATGACAAGAGACCAAAATAATTTCCATTTCAAACAAAATTTAATTTCATTTAACAATATGCAATTACACATTTTTTTGTTAAGGCTATAGCCAATAGGTATTTCTGTAATTAATGATATATTTTAATTATTATATACAACCGAAAAAATATGTTAATATGTCTTGCAATTTTAAATATAATTTTTTTTATTTTTTTTTTTTTTTTTTAGTAATATAAAATTTAGAAATGAACAAATTATTAAGAAAACAGTATGTTGCATTGATTTTATTATTCTCCTATTTTAATAACAGCTCAAATATTTTTGGAATATAAAATATGTTTTTACTTACTAACGAGGTATTTTCCATAACTTGTTCTTATTTTTAAATTGATACCTACAATTAAATTAGTTGGATTACAATATATCAGTGGTTCTCAATCTTTTTAGGACCGCGATCCAAATTTTCTTCCAAAAATCTATCACGACCATAGTTTTACATTTACAGAATCAATAAAAATAATTTCAAAAAACAAATTTTTTCTATTTTATTACTTATTTACTACTTTATAATAATAATAATAATAATATAATATAATATAATATAATATATATAATATAATACTTAATTAATAATTAGGCGTATGTGATGAATGTGCTTGTTTCTTACAATCTGTATAATTAAAAAAACTTCTAGCGACCCCCAAAAAATTGACTCGCGACCCACAGTTTGAGAAACGCTACAATATATAAATTACAATACATAGATATATAAATATAAATATATCTAATTTTAAAATGTACACTTATATTTTACACACACATATTATGAACTATATCTAAATACCCATGACATTGATAATTTCTAATTGTTTAAAACTGTAAATTAATACTACAAATTGTACAGGATTATTGTTAATTCAGTATAAAACAAAAATTCATGATTTTTTTTTTTTTTATTTGTTTTATACATTTATAATACATTTACTTTAACATTTAGCTTCAATTGAGTGATTGTATCATAAAACACAACATTATTGATTTTTTTTTTCTGTGGTATTATTGAGCATTTACTATCAAAATATTAATATTACAAAAAGTGGGATATTACCATGTAACTACTCTAGTTCTGTTATTATTTACCCTTGAGAGCTGACCTAATGGTTTTTTGTACAATTACTTTTAAATTTGTATATTTATTGATTTCTTTGAAAATTATTTATTCTGTTATAATAAAGAAAATATATTCTACAATTGTATTTATAATGCGTAATTATTATTATTACTAGTAATAGTAAAATAGTTAACTATCATTGAAACAAATGTCCACATCGCAATAACTTAAATGTTGTTGGTTTTTTTTCCATCATCTACTAACCTGTTTTTTAAAATATTTTCTCCCCGGTTGTAGTCATTGTTCTATCATAATATTTTATGTATCACATTATGTATATTAATTATTGTATCTATTTATATTACTTAATCAATTTAGAATAACTCAATTTAATTTTTATTATCACAGTTACACAAAAAAAAAATGTTTAGTTAATATAAATATGATAAAATTCGTGATTTCAAACAGAGCTATACAATTTTGTAATTTATTTAATGTCAGATAAATGTGAAGACCAAATTTAAAATAAATTATCTTAAGAATCTAGGGACCAGTTGAATATTTGAATTTAATTTATAGTTAATATAACATTATTTATTAATAAGTTTTTTCATAAATAATATTTCTGCTCAAACTCGGAAATAATAAAATATTTTTGTATTATTATAGCAATTGGTTCTACTAAAATATGTTTCATTAATGGTCAGCTTAATCTATTACTTATAAAATTGTAATTTAGTTAATTACTCAACATAATTTATTATAAATATATTTTTATTACAATTGTTTAGTTACTAAACAAATTAACAATTTTGTAAAATAGAAAATGTAAATAAATTATTGATAATCGGAGAGAAAATATATCGGGAGTGATGAGGGAAAAATAACTTATTGATTTAAATTTATATTTATTTTAAAAAATAATCAATAAGTAATGTATATAATAAATAAGTTAAATAACAACTATATTTGTAAAATTAATAGTTTGTTAGATTTTTTTTTGTACAGAGTTGTAATTTTTTTTTTTACTGATTATTTATTCAAAGTTAATTATACTTAAAAAAATATCATTGTTATTAATTTTGTTCATTCCTAACGTAATTAAAGCTTTTTGCTTCAATTTAAAATAGGTATTTAGGCCTTTTGCCAGACAAAATCACGTGTCTCAGAATATTGTTATATAAATTTATATTTTAATAAATACATTGTAAATTATACTACTTATATTAAAGTTGTATTGAACATATTATATAAAAAAGTATAACAATAATTGCGTTATTAATGATTTAACTTCCTAAGTATTTAAAATTGTATAAAAACAAGATGACGGAAGATTGACTAATGTAGACTGCCTAACTGAAAAATAAAACATTTTCTTTAAATTCCCGCCCTCAAGTACGACAATTAACAATCATAGACGTAAAACCATCAAAACCCAGTACAATTCAGAAAATTCTCAAATCATTAATCCACCATCCCCGACTTGTCTAATGATATATCCTTGTATTTGTTTTGTCTCGTTGTGCACTAGGTGTTTAAAATTTTATTTAATTATCCATTTGTATTGTTATTTTTTTTTGGAGGAAATCAAAGATTATAGCACTTCTAAAATCAGGAAAAACCCCAGACAACGCAAAAAAACTTACGGCCCATCTCCCTCTTCTGCCATACTTACAAATTATATGAGAAATTAATCCTAAACAGGCTAAAAATATTGATAGACGATAAACTCATCAAAGAGCAAGGCGGTTTCAGGCCAGAGAGGTCCTGTACTGGACAAATATTGGGACTCACCCAACACATATATTCACATATAGTGAATCATAACCTTCTGATCTCTAAGATCAAAGGTCTAACTAAAGATAATACACTTTCCAGGACAATAAACACCTTTCTCTGTAACAGACGATATTGCGTAGAACTTGAAGGAAAGGTAAGCAGATGGAGAATTCAGCAAAATGGCCTCCCACGAGGTAGTGTGCTAGCTCCCACACTCTTTAACATATACTATAATGACCAGCTGATACTCATCCAGGCCGGTATCAAACATTTCATATATGCTGACGATATAGCCCTAGCCGCCCAAGGTGACAAATTCTATGATATTGAAAGTACATTAGAGGAATCACTCAGGGTAATGTCTGATTACTACGATGAAAATATTCTAAATCCAATTCCAATTAAGACATAAGTTTGTGCTTTTCATCTTGAAAACAGAGAGGCAGACTGAACACCGAAAATTGAATGGTGAGGAACTGTATCAGAGAACTCTGCACATTCCACATACCTAGGCGTTATGTTAGATCGAAAAATTGCTACAAGGAACAATATACTCTGGAAACTCACAGGCTCTACGTGGGGGGGTCAACGCACATACATTACGTATATCTGCACTGCCACTTTGTTTCTCTGCTGGAGAATATGCCAGTTCTGTGTGGAGTGAGAGAGTGTGGTCCGTTCACATAGAACAAACTCATAACATTCTGAATGAATCCTGTCATTTAGTAACAGATTGTCTTAAAAATACTCCACTTCCTAAAATTTACTATCTTGTTGGTATTTCCCCAACAAACATCCGCTGGGAGATCACAGCAGACTGGAAAAGAACCAAAGTAGAAACTGACATACGATACCTATTACATAGCCAAAATACACCTAATTTCAGACTTAAAACCAGAAAATGTTTTCTAAAAACGATAAAACTTCTAAATAAACATCCTGAAGAGGTACGAAGAGAAAGGTGGAAACTCTCTTTCTCCAAGGAAAACAATAAACTAGAGTTTGAACCAGCCGAACTACTGCCAGTAGGACACGAATTAGACTGGCCAACCTGGAGATCCCTTAATATTCTCAGAGTAGGAGTGGGCAGATCTAAAAACAACGTAAAGAAATAGGGCATCCTTCAAGACATGTCTACAAAATACGAGTGTAGTATGGAACAAAACATGGAACACCTACTGGACTGCCAAAGCTGCCCATCCTCCTGTACGAAAGAAGATATATTGTCTATAAATCCAAATGCTATTAAAGTAGCAAGATTTTGGTCAAGAGTAATCTAAAACTAAAACAAACATACGAACTCTGATAACTGTGTTACCATAAATTACAATAAATTCTATTAATATTTCTAATTATATTCGACGCTGTTCTCAATGATGCAACTGTCTTTGTGATTCAAGTCTCGGACACTTTCATTGTTCCATTCTATCATCTTCATTGTCTGATTATGTTGGAATATAAATATTTAATATCATCACCATTTAACATCAGATAAAAAAACATGTGCCCGCGCATTGACGCCAATCTATATGCACATAGGTGCAAATAGTATTTGATTTTTTTTTTTTTTGGGGGGGGGCTAGAAAATTAGTCATAAAATATTTGACTTACAATATACTGTATAGTGTAGTCATTTGTTTTAAGGGGCTAAGCCCCTAGACCCTTCCCTCTTATATGAGTATGTCATGGACGCCCATTTTGCAAAGAAAGGACATGTCCTCCCCCGAGTAAATAATAATATATGCAAAATAATAAATGTGCTATACAATGCATGATTATTGACGCTCATGCGTTATTAAGTAGTACTAGTAGCAATGTATATGAATCCTCAGAAGTTGGACACTTAATCAATATCCATCCAATTCCTGACAGTAAAAAGTATAGTTTGTTGATGAACCCATAAAAACCTACCATAAATAATG